ACCTTAAAGGAATAAATGCAAATATCTATTGATTGTACTTATTTTAAACTCAAAATAAGAGTATACTTCCAGTTTACTTTTTATGTACTTATCTGAGATATACTTAACTGAGTTTATCTTACACTATACTTGGTTTGTACTAAAAGTTTAAATATACTTAGTCTTAAACTTTTGGCCAAGATAAACTTTAGTAGTACACTGAAAGTACATTTTCACACAGACTGGTTCATTTGTATATTTCAAGTTTAAATTAAAAGTATACTTAGAAGATTACTTTCATTATACTTCTGAGTATACTTTTATAAATGTATTGTGGGTCAGTTTAGTCCTAGAAGTATACTTGTTAGTAAACTGCTAGTATACTTATATCAGCGTACATGGTAAATAAAAGTACACTTATGGAAATACTTTTATATACTTTAGTATACTTAATGACATGTACTTAAAGTATACTTCTTTTTGGTAAATTTATAAAACTTAAAAAGACAGCAATATATTTAAAGTATACTTTTTGTAAACCTTTTTAAAATGTCCCAATTTAATACAAACCATTATTAAATCAGTATACTTTCTAGTACACTACAAGAACATGGTGCCTAGTACACTTGATATACTTAAATTAATACTCAAGTGTACTTGTAAAGATGGATTTTAAGTATAATGCTTTTTGCTTAATGTGTACTTTTAATAACTAAAAAAGTCCCAATTTAGTATGAACAAGTATTAAATCAGTATACCTTCAGTATACAAGTACATGGTGCCTAGTATACTTTATATACTTAAACGTATACTCAAGTATACTTGTTAAAATGAACTTTAAGTATATAAGTTTTTGCTGAGGAAAACACCACATGTCCCCATGTTTAAACAGTTTTGTCTCACTCTTGCATCCAGGTCTGWTTTGTTTTTATCTTTTGGAAGGAGATTTTATGTCGAGTATTCCTGTGTATTTGTACTTCCTGAAACCTGGTGATGAGTACTGTGGAGCTGACGCGGGCTGATCCTCAGCAGCTGCTTGATGAGAGCGAACACCTGCTGTCTGGCTGCACAGATGGTTTCATGCTGGAGTCCATTAATAAAACAGGATAAACAAATAAAACTCGTCGATCTTCTTTAACTGGATGTTTTAGATTTTCTGAAGATGAAACAAAAACACGGCTGCAGTTCACATTTCTGTGYTTTAAGGTTTTAAAACTCAGCTGTGTCAGCTCTTTCTGTGTCCGTCTGCAGGAGTTCTTTGACATGTGGCCCGTCTTGATGGGAGAAGTTCCTCCGTATGATGGAGCCAAGACTCCTGACGGCAGGGTGAGCACATCTCCTCCTCCTCCTCCTCCTCCTCTGCTGCTGCCGACACTCGTTCTTCCCTTCTGCTCCAAACTGGCCTCAGTGTCACATTTTACATCCTTTATCACCAACGTGGCCTGTCAAAAAGCAGGGGACAGATTTTTAAGTCGCTCTCAGGGCTGGGAAACTAGTGACTTCTCCAGTCCTGATTCCTGACGAGACGTTAGGAACTTCATGGTTCCATCAGAGTGACAGCTCAGGAGACCGTGGTGTTTTAAAGCTAACTGACCTTATTTTACTGAGTTTTTTTAAGTTTTTTTTTTATTATTTTTAACATAAATCACAAACAAAAAACTAACTAACACCCCCCCGAGAACCCTCCCATCCCTCCCCACCTATACCGGATCTACCAACAAACATAAATACATCTTGTATTCACATAACAAACAATACAAAACACAGGTTTGTGTACAAAGAACCAATATTTGACCTTTACACAAAGTTATCTGYGGAAATTTTCTCCACGTAGGATAAAAATGGCTGCCAGGTGTCAAAGAATTTGTTTACAGATCCYCTAACAGTWTATCTAATCTTCTCTGAATGAATGTAAGACGTAACTTCTCTTAACCGATGAATTTTACTGAGTTGAAATGAAGACAAACGTCTCAATAAATTTCCTGTTTTCTTCAGGAAATTATCTTCTACAAAGTGATCGACTACATCCTTCATGGGAAAGAGGACATAAAAGTCATACCGTAAGTTCTGACAAAGCTTTTAGTTTATGGCAGAGGAGCCCAAAGTGGGGCCCGCGGGCCAAATTTGGCCCGCCAAGCCATTTGATTTGGCCCACCAACAGCTGCCAAAGTTACAAGGTGAGAGACAGCAGGCGCAAATCGTGACACCGCACCTCGTACTGGCACTTCCGGTGGCAGGTGTCACAAGTGCCACAGTTTTCTTCTGGCACTTCCGGTGGCAGGTGTCACAAGTGCCACAAGTGCCACGAACTTCGTCTAACTTCGGCTGACTTCGGCGCCTACTAATGGCA